ATATATGTATACATATATATATATATATGTATACATATATATATGCATATATGTGTGTGTTTGTGCGTGTTTCAAACCGATTTTTCCCCATTATATTATGGAATTTGAGAGTCCGTGCTCTACGCGAAGGAAGTAAGAAACGTAACGAGGTAATAAAGGACGTCTGGATTATTGACGACATTATTAGTGCTTTAGTGACGCTGCTAACGAAGGTGACAACAATAATGATTGTCATTATCTATAGGATGAATAACGATCATAATTACTGTTGTCACCTTCATTAGGAGCGTCACCACTGGACTAATAATGTCACCAATAATCCAGGTGTCCTTTATTACCTCGCTGTCGCGCTTGTTTCCGTCACGATCTACAACGCCATGTCGCGTTCTACGATGCTGTGGGTTTGCTACGTTGCAGTACTATCAGTCAACATGCTAACTGACAATTCCATGCCTCTCTATCTCTCACGACTGAGCAAAATTTATCCTATATCTCGTGACCGCTATCAGAATAACCTGTATAATCTGGTACGTGGCACGCAGCCAATGCCACACACATGGAGGGATTGGGGAAGAGGGAGAGAGAGGGGGAGGAAGGGTGAGAAGCAGAGAAGGAGAGGGATAGCGTTGTAGATCACGACATAGCGTTGTAGATCGACGAGTCACGCACACGGATGTACAAGTGAATAAACTGTAACATAGCAAACCCGCCGCATCGTGAGCGAGGGATAGAAAGAGTGAGGGATGGTGGGGAGGAAGAGAAGGGAGGGAAGGGAGGGAGATGAGGAAGAAAGGAATGGGAAGGGAGGAAGTGCAGGGAGAGGTACGGGTGAGTGTAGAATGCTGGTTTCAGCCATTGTTGCTGTAACCTCACATACATTTCACTCTGTACTGCGGTTAACGAATCAGAACCTTTAATATAATATTAATTAATTATTATTAATAATGTGTAATATTTATATTGATGATCTATATTAATATATAGATACGAGGAATTTGAGAAAACGGTGATGGTTGCGCCCTCTAGTGAACGCAATAAAGGATTTCGGTTTCAACTTTTGCGGATGTACGTGTCACAGGAATACTGTGTCACAGGAATACTGTGTCACAGGAATACTGTGTCACAGGAATACTCTGTCACAGGAATACTGTGTCACAGGAATACTGTGTCACAGGAATACTCTGTCACAGGAATACTGTGTCACAGGAATACAGGGAGGTAAGACAGTAATAAGGACAATAAAGGCGTGTTTATCATTATAATTATGCAATAAAGGTGAACAACTAGACTCGAGTATGTGGAAAAGTTATATATAGGTACAAATATTATAGGTTCCCAAATGTCATGGAGCCAAAACCGTAGGTCGATGAAATTTTCCAGCATTGAAAATGTTGAGGAATTTGTCGATGTCAGCGATAATTCAAATGTTTAATATCTGTAGCCGACAAAACATTTAAGTAAAGCAGGTGCTGAAACATACGCTATATTGCAAAGTCTGAGTTGGTTTACGTTTTTAATAACTTCGAATAAACAACTTTAATAAAAAAAAAGTATCTGTTCCCTGTCTCGGAATTTTGCATGTAATCGTGCAAATGTAACAGAAGGACTGATTTTTTGCTTTTGCTTCTAATTCCAATTCATG